GAAAAAAGGTTTGAACAGTCTCTAGAAAAAGTAGAAAAAAGGTTGGAACAGGTTAATCAGGTAAGTGAATATTGAATGATCATTCCCTAATAAATGCAAAATTAATGATTTCAAACATCTCATTCTAATCTAGAAACTTGAAAGTGTTTTTATCGAAATATCTTTTATCAAAGGGTACATTTTTAAATTTACTAATGAAAATAATGAGGAAAAAAAGAATTGATCATGTAAGTTTGGTTTATAGGCGTTGTTATTACAACATATTATTTAGGGTATAACAATATTGTAATATCTATTACTAGCTTAAGCTTTCTGCTATGGATTCATAATTATTTTAAAAAAATCAAATCAAATTTTATTAATTCTATCAAAATCTAAAGCAATAAAAGAAACAAAGATTTATTCTGCATTAAAATTGTATACTAATACGTATAAGCCAATATCATATTTTTAGTAAATTTCTAAAACTAACTTGTTTCTATTGCTAACTACGAGACTTAATTCCTCTGGAATCTTTTCGCACTCACTAACCATGATACTCTTACACCCCTTCCTACGAACACTAGATTAATCCAACTCTACAAAAATTTTCGCATATCACTCCTACTTACACAGACTATAGGATTATGTTCCGCAAGACAATCGTTGAATCGAAATCTACACACTTGAATTATATATTCCGTTATTACAAATAAAATCTATATTAAACTGCAGAAAACAATTTTATTGGTATTCCCACATGTTATTGCATATACAACATCGTGTGGAATTTTTTTTTAAAAATAAATATGTAAACAAAATATTTTTAGCAGAGCTACTAGTTTCACTAATAAAAAAAATTACAATATAAAAGAATCGTGAAGTAGGGGGCTAAGAGGGAGGAATAAAGCATATAATAAGTGCCTGCCGGATCCTAAGCCCCTTTACATTGTAAAAAATGGCAGTTCCTTTTTCCACCCCACTAGCCATCATTATCGTTATTATCATTGTTATTAAAAATTATATTACTGCTACTTGAAAAATTATTTCTATTGCTACTACTGCTAATAATAACGGAATTATCTTTTTTCTGATTCTTTTTCAATCTATGTTTCGATTTTATCTAACGAAGTTCTTAGCGGAGATTTTTGATGACAATAGAAACTTGCAAGCATGGCTGGACTGAGTCCAATTTCCATAGATAAGGCATTGTACATTTTCGTGGGCGAACGACCTCCTCTTTTTCTTATTTCGTTAAATAGGTTGGTAAATTCAACCAAAAGAGTTTCGATTTCACTCGAATATTCAGATTTGAGACTTTGCACAGATGCTTGCCCTAATTAAGAAACGATGGTTTAAAATAAATATAAATAAAATATAGCATTCACACGTTTGAATTTGTAAACCTCCACTTCGGACTTCAGATCTCCATTCTGCCTCGGTACGCATTTTATTTATTTCATTATTTAGGTTTAAAATAGTTTGTTTTAATTCTTTTATAGTTTCGTCTACCCTTGCGGGAATTGGGTTGGAGGTGGAGTTTGGTGCGAGCTTTTACGTAGATAAATAATTATTACAGCAAAAATTACATAAATTATTGTATTTTTCGGGATAATGAAATAAAGCATCTCCATCGAATTAAATTAATAAATAAATATGTAAGTAGTATGTTTATAAAAATTATAGATTAGACTGAGTTGTATAAAATAGGTTATTTGGCAGGGCCTTAACATGCTGAGGGCAATCAGGTGGTAAGTTGCAGGCACATCTCATATGAGTTAGTTTGAGCTTCATCTTTTCAAAATAAGTTGTGTATTTTATATTACGTAATAATATGGAAGACTTTCTCTTTTTTTAATTAATAAATTTGGGACAAGGTCTCACTGGAACAAAAAAAAAAGATACCACCTTGATATCAAAGTTAGAAATACCTGTCATAATTAAAAACAAGTGATGTAATAAATTATGGCAATTAATTAAGACATATGGCACAACTCCTGTAAGTAATTACAACAAAGTAGCCAATGCAGTTGATACAAGTGATTATAAGAAAATGTTGATAATGGGAAGCAACTAATATATAATGTAAGAGGTAAGAAAGAGGCTATAGGTTATTTATAGTAATAATAATAATTATTTAAAATAAATAAAAATATACTTACTGTATATTGTTAAATATAAGAAATAATAAATAACAAAAAAATTTAAATGTTACTAAATATCTTTGTTTCAGTTTTTATTGAAATTTTCATGAGCATAATTTTTTTTTTAGTGAAATAACATAGGAGAATACACCTTTTTACATCAAAAAAAAAAAAAAAATCTAGAATTGATAATATCAAAATAAAAAATGAGCTAATATTTAATTTATTAAAAAAACTCAGAGATAATAAATAAAATATAATTTTGTAAAAACAATATATTGATAAAGTAAATATAACACTAGTTAAATACAGAAAAATCACTGTACCGAATGGTAATTCCTATATTATAGATCAGCTGAAATCGGAATTCCTATATCATAGACCAGCTAAAATCAACCGTCATATTTTATCCTATATTATAAATAAGCTAAAACCGGGAATTCCTATTTGCGCCACCATTCTTTTATGTTTGACCTGTGTAAATCTATGTAATGTAAAACAAAATTAATAAATAAATAAATTAAAAATAAATAAAATAAATTTCTTTTTTAAATTTTTATAAATTAATTTTCTAAGTTGTATAAATATATCATTTTCATTTGTAAGAATGATATCATATTTTGACTTTAGAGCTTCTAATTGTGCCCCAGTCATATATCTATGTCTATATTTAGACGGGCCTACGATGATATCAATGGTTCATCACTGAGGTCTTTATTAAATATTTTATAACTGAAATGTCTAAAGAATAAATGGAATAAATGTTGATTGATTTTTTTTTTTAAAAAAAATAATAATAAAATATAAAAAGTATAACTATTAGTTGTGTTAAAAGGAATTCTTTCATTAATATCAACTCCTCCATCACCAGATCTGCTAATGAAAAGAAAGAAATAAATATTTATCTTATCATTATCAAGGGTTATAAAACTTCATGTTTGTCTCTTTCAAACAAAATTTGTATTATACATCAAATGATTAAAAATTGGCAAAAATTGACTTAACCTATTTGCATATCATCCACAAATTTTCCTGCCTATTACCATGTCATCTTAAATCTTCCTTGATTATTCACAAATCTCCCTGACTATTTGTGTCAAAAATTTAGCCTATTTTTTTTTTTTCATTCTCAAATGAAGGTAGAACAAGTCAACATTACAAATGTGTGAAAGAATGATATCAATGTATACTTAGAGTATAGACATCTCAGCAGTATATTTGG